TGAACAAGGTAAAAATGTTCCAAGTTCATTGTAAGCGATTCCAGAGTACTCCGAAGTGACGTCTTGTTGACCTTTTTTCAAATGTATCAGCGACGTACCAGGTTCTTCCTTCTCGAAAATATTTGGATACGCTGTCGATGTTTTCCTTTGTCAGGCTATTTCCGAGCTACCCGACCCAAGAACCGTCATTGAAAATCAGTCAAAAACAGAATCAATCTGGCTCAAAACTGACCCCCCCCCTTGTGCCTTGCATATGTTTACAGCGCTTGCCGTTCTTCTTTCGTGACAGATTCTGCTTTTCCTGATTAGAAATCCTTATCCAAGGTGAATAATCTTAAGTATTTCTGAGTTAGCCTAAAAGCCAATCTAAGATGAATATCTCACGTTAAGCTCTATGTCAGTGAATTGCGAAGCTTTTATTGCCAAACAAGAAAACAAGGGCAGCTTAATGCATCACCAACTTCTGTTTCAAAATGTATTCTTCAGTGAGTTCTTCGGGTAAGGTTGTATTGTTCACCCATACTTTTCCCCTGGGCTTTTGAGCCAAGACCCAAAAACCATTCGAAAAGAGGATTCCCAGTTACGAACCGCTTTCATTTGCTCCGAGTAGATTTTCTTTTAACTGAAGTTACAAATCTGCATAATGGCCTTGTATATCCCTAGTTCACAAAATATAACTGCATCCTACGCATCATTCACACCCTGACTTGTCCCTCTGTCGTTCTCACTTATTCAACAAATCTGAATTTCTTCACCTTCCTTCCAGAAAGCATATTTGTAAAAGCCCTAATGTGCCTTATCTGCCGCGTGTACTGACCGACATGTATAGGATTTAAACGAAATTGCTTTCCAAATTTCTTCTTCGTTGGCTTTCCCGTCTCCTATATCTTTAGAGCCCACCGCTGTTTTTCATCCTATTTTTCCGCAGTACATTTGATTGAAATGTGATCACGTTGCTTGTGAAATATTGTCATACAAATTCAAATACAAAAGAGAAGGAAATCATAGTATTACCTAAACCCAGCAGTACACGGAGAAACTACTTCCATTGGTAATGCAAGATAACCGAGAACACACTGTGATCTGATTCTACTCATAATTTTTATTTACCATTTAACTTTCCATTTCATAAACAATTGTTTTTTGAGCTTCCGAAACTGGCATTTATTTCAAGAAATCTAACACACCTAAGCGTATGCTGGGGCTGAAGATTTCAGTGCATCGTCAGTCCTTGACAGTACTTCAACCGTCGCCTGACAATTTGGAAGCAGAGTTGACCCCAGATATTTGAACGATAGTTCATACTCGATCGCCTTACGCATATTGGGTAAATGCTGAGCTGACGTTTCAGGGTGAGTCGAGAAAGTTCGTTTAAGTCAATTCAAGACTAATGGTCTTTGAGAAGTAATCAAGTCGGTTCACGACTAGCTGAATTGCAGTCGGATAATCTGTCATGAAAATGTTGCCGACAAAATCCAGGTTCGATATGTTCACCGTTGGACTCTGTTGGACACCCGGATTATCAGACGAGGCTTTGTTCATTGCTCAGTAGGCTACTCAGTTGATCAACCCTGGTTAGAGTGGCCCTTCCTATCGAACTCCAGAACTGGTTGCCAATGCCGACGATTCTTCACCATACACTGGGGCATGTGCGCTAGCGGAGGCGTAGTAAGCATTCAGGGTGCTTGCGATTTTGACAGGAATGCCTTCAGACTCTTTTGTACTACGTAGATATTCACGACTACCGAGTCAAAGGTAGCTGTAGGAACTCGTAGCTGTGTTCCAGTAGTCGGCGCAATGCGACGATTCGGTCCACAAAACTTCTGCCACGGCGAAAAACCCCTTGGTTTGGTCGAGTGCAGGAGTCTCTCACAACTGGCAAGCGACTGAATGAAGGTAAAAAGAAAATCTTTGCAGTGATATCCGCGGAATGGATCTCTCCATGGTTCCCTCACAGTGTTTCTTTCCTTTCATGGAAATGTGTATGGAAACGGAAACTCTCCAGTCCTTGGAATTGTCTCTCTTTCCCATCTATATCGGAACAGTACATGGAGCCTGTTTGATGCGGATGAAAGCAGATTTTCTGCATTTTTGGCGATATGCTGTCCTCTCAAGCAGCTTTCTTGTTTTATAACTGCTTGATGACCCTGGGGACTTCCCTCACGCTTAGTGGTTTGTCGCTGACTTCTCACGTAATGAGAGTGGGAACGGGTGGAAAGTCTATTGTGTGATCGGAAGGTTGGTTGAGGATCCGGTCGAAACATTGTACCCGAATTTGGGATTTTTCTTCTCTGTTTGGAGATAGTCTGGATTATTGCATCACTTAAGCTGGATTCAGGCTTGCATCGCTGATTTGAAGCTCTCTGAGTGAGTCGAAATAATTTGTCCAAATCACCAGTACCGGAAGTAGTCTCCATTTCATCTGCTTCTTCAGTATTCTTGTGACCAGCCTTTGCATAGTGCAAAAGCTCTCGCTGTAGTCTTCAGCGCGCCAACAATTTGGGCTTCCTGGTTTCTGACTGACGGTTATAAAATGGTCAATGAGCTTCTCTCCTTTGACCTTTTTCAATTCCCCCCAGCTCTTTCAAAGCAACCCTACTGATCGACTTTATCACCTTCCGTTGTTCTTCCTCTGAGGACTCATCCGTTTGCGCTGTAGTTACAACAATCAGTTGGACAACGATAGCGTTTGCAGATCTTTGTGCGTTTCTGGTATATCAAGGCCTGCGACATTTATTCGGTTCGGTGGGGAGACTTTCAGACCCATAGGCATATTGATTTTTAAAGCACACAGGTCTTAGGACACGGAGTGTACCATTCGTGTTTCTCGTCAGTGCGCTGCCATACACTCGGTAGTCTTCTATTACTGAAGCTGGACTGGATCGTAATAAGTATGATCAGTGCAACTATCCTTTGAGTCCCAGGTTATTCAGTGTCTTCTGAGGTCTAAGGAGCGAGTAATGCAGGTGACTAACCTGTAGGCTTTAACCGGATTCACTTGGTGGTTTTCATTCCTGCAACAACGGTCAAGTCCGAAATCTCCTGGAACACGGCGAGTGGACTCATCCGAGGGGCTCGTTTATGCGTTCCAATCACCGGCGATAGAGATTATATTCCTGCCAGGAATACGGTTGATCATATTTCGTTATTCGTTATAAAAGTCACCCTTTGTTGTGTTTATCGTCGTATTTGTCGTTGCCTAGATAGCAGCCACCGAGAGATTCTGGAGACAGCCCTTGGAGTTCGCCCGCGCCAACCTCGACCAGATCGGTTCCGAGAAGCCAGGGTGCTAATAGCCTCTTTCCCCAAAGGAAATGCGATACGATGGTGTTCGGAGACGTCCTCAGGTTCGACACGATAGAGCCAATAAACTTTACCCATTTCTGGAGCCATAAAATACCGAGCAGTTGACTTCCGGAAGGTAGCTAATGTTTACATGGTATTCATGTAGTGTTTTTGTATTACTCTGGCTACCTACATCTAGTAGCGTTCTCACATTCTCATGAGCCATGTGTGCCCGTATTTTTACAGTAGATGTTTCCACCTCACTTTTATGTCACCACGACCACTGAAACACGCGGCGCGTCGATTAGGGGGGACGCCGTATCACGATGAGAGTGCGTAAATTCACAATAACCGATGGAGGTTCTTGGAAATAGTGACTACAAGCTGGGCCCCTATGACCTTTTAGGGCTATGTGATATTCTTTAGTAAAGTCTTGCCTTTTTGTGCGAAAATGCACCTCCAGCCTTTGTACATCCAAGTGCACTCTGGGGAGCACATAGGGAAAACTTTTATTTAGTGGCGGGCCGCATGATCGACTTCGCAAGGCGATCAACAGCTTTATACGGTATTAGGAATCGTCTGTAGTGTGAATCAATGTTCTTCATCGAAGAGACCACAAATGCACCACAACTGGGTTAGCAGTGATCCAAATACTAATAACTAAGGGAAATCACAGTAGTGATTTATTTGCTGAATTTTAAATGAAAGGCATCGATTCACACTCTTGAAGATTCAAAAATAAATCCTGATCAGTATATAAAATCGGTGTGTACACATATAAAGATGACTGGGCAGAGGAGCATCAGGTGCGCACATCTGATGACCGGAAACCTCCGCGGGGCAAGTCGTTTGCCTCCGGGAAAATGCTTACAACACTTTTACAAAATTGTTATTGCCCATTATATATATATATATATATATAAATATATATATATATATATATATATATATATATATATATGTTAGATACGTACGTCCGATTCTGAAATTTAGTCAACTTTATTCGGTGTCTAGGCCGAGTTGGAGTGACGCGCTCTCCTCAGAAACCAAATCAAACTAGCTGAGTTTTATTATTATTTTATTTCAATCAAATGTACTGCGGAAAAATAGGATGAAAAACAGCGGTGGGCTCTAAAGATATAGGAGACGGGAAAGCCAACGAAGAAGAAATTTGGAAAGCAATTTCGTTTAAATCCTATACATGTCGGTCAGTACACGCGGCAGATAAGGCACATTAGGGCTTTTACAAATATGCTTTCTGGAAGGAAGGTGAAGAAATTTAGATTTGTTGAATAAGTGAGAACGACAGAGGGACAAGTCAGGGTGTGAATGATGCGTAGGATGCAGTTATATTTTGTGAACTAGGGATATACAAGGCCATTATGCAGATTTGTAACTTCAGTTAAAAGAAAATCTACTCGGAGCAAATGAAAGCGGTTCGTAACTGGGAATCCTCTTTTCGAATGGTTTTTGGGTCTTGGCTCAAAAGCCCAGGGGAAAAGTATGGGTGAACAATACAACCTTACCCGAAGAACTCACTGAAGAATACATTTTGAAACAGAAGTTGGTGATGCATTAAGCTGCCCTTGTTTTCTTGTTTGGCAATAAAAGCTTCGCAATTCACTGACATAGAGCTTAACGTGAGATATTCATCTTAGATTGGCTTTTAGGCTAACTCAGAAATACTTAAGATTATTCACCTTGGATAAGGATTTCTAATCAGGAAAAGCAGAATCTGTCACGAAAGAAGAACGGCAAGCGCTGTAAACATATGCAAGGCACAAGGGGGGGGGGTCAGTTTTGAGCCAGATTGATTCTGTTTTTGACTGATTTTCAATGACGGTTCTTGGGTCGGGTAGCTCGGAAATAGCCTGACAAAGGAAAACATCGACAGCGTATCCAAATATTTTCGAGAAGGAAGAACCTGGTACGTCGCTGATACATTTGAAAAAAGGTCAACAAGACGTCACTTCGGAGTACTCTGGAATCGCTTACAATGAACTTGGAACATTTTTACCTTGTTCAGTTTATCTGCATTTTGTTGGGAAAATAATGAGAGAGCCAGGCTATAGTTTATATAAGACAGATACAAGCCTTAATCATTTGAAGAAAAAAACAAGATACTTAGTCAAATGCTAAGAAATGATCAAGGAACACATCGGAAAATTTGGGCGCATCAGTCTACGGACATCATAACGAAGTGGACTACAGACGCATAAGTATCGAGAGTGCAATTTTGTGTTTGTTGGAGAACTAAAATGGGTCCGGAAGTGCATTCAGATGGATTCAAAAACTACCAAGTGTAGCTTTCTCAGCCCTTTTAGTGCTGCTAACATTAGAGCTATCGGATGAAAACGGTTTTCTGTGCCAGTTGTACTAATGCCCTCGAGAATTGATGTAATGATGACTGCATGTCAAAAGTCACGTATTGAAACAGTTGTTGGGGTTTCATCCAACAAGATTGGCATTGGTTATGCAACCTGGGCAGTACCAGGAAAAAGAGCATTGAAACCTTCAGTGGACCGAGCTCACGATTTCAGGATAAATTCCAGTTTGTCAGAAATCGAGAAAAATCATAAGTCTGTACGTACTTACGGAGAATACGGAAGAGAGCAATCGCTGGAAAGAGGTTTAAGGGTCACATAAACGTTGTACACATCAGTATCATCGTTTCGAAGTTTTTCTTTCTGGCCACAAAGTGGCATTATTCCGTGTAATAGAAACTTGTGACTTTGTTTTCAGGAACTGTGTGGCGAACGACAATTAATTCTTGTATCTCTACCTTGGTCAGGAGCTTGGACTTCCATACCTCGGCGAGACTTGTATGGGAGTTCCTTTTGACTTCTGAGAAACTTTAGTAGTGGCCGCCCTACCACTGGATGCAAAGATAGCTTCCATTGGATGAGATAGCTTGAAGATAGCCTAAAGAAAACTAGCGAAGTGTTCAGCAACTTAGATGAGTTAGCAGAAAGAAAACCCTGAAAAGACAGAAAATGGCTACATAGCTCATGAACAATCATCCAAGAAGATTCTGAGGGACCTCACCTATTCTGTCTGCATGCCTTTCGCATCCCTCCACATTTTCCGCATTTAGACTTCCCCCCTGTATAGATGTCTACGGCAGCCCAAAAGCGCCTTGCTTAGCAGGTGTATTGTTTGAACCGATGAAAGTCATTGAAGTACCTCGCAAGAACCTCTTTCACGGAAGCAGTTTCATTTCAACAGGAATCATTTTTGTGATTATTTCAAAGTTTCAATGATGAAGCTCCCTCTGTGCCTACTGAAATTTGAGTTCGTTAATTTTTCGAAGTCGCTAACACAACAGAATACAATACAAAGGAGATGACATACATGTCGGTGAAAATTATACTTCGAAAACGATCAAATCTGGGATAAATCCGAATAACTACCAGCTCACTCCATGCGGAGAGCAATAAAATACTACGGCAGACTTGCCACTCCAGGATTAGTTTACGTAGGTTGCCACTCCGCCCCCACAATTCTTATCCTTCAGCAACAGATCTTGAGGAAAGCACCGAAATGGAAGAAGAAAATTGTCTACCGTTTCTTGATGTACACCTATCTCGACGATCTGATGGTTCGATCCAGAGGAATGGGTTTCGGAAAGCCACCTGGAATGGCCGGTACATATACTTTCAAAGTTTCGTGCCAATTGTTTACAAACGTAACCTGCTACGCTGTATTCTACACAGAGAGGAACATATCTGCACTGCAGATACTCTAGAGGCCGAGCTATCAAACATAAGGAAGATGCTACTTAGCAACGATTATCCCGAGTAATTTATCCAAAGAAACTGGACTGAACGGATGAAATCAGTGAGAATCACACAAGCGGAAAAGAAAGTATTATTCATTCGACTCCCCATCAAGGAAGATGTCGCAGCCGATAGAGTCTGTAAAATTGTGAGTGCCACGGTTAAGTCCACCTCCAACGCTGCCAAGATCAGATGAGTGTTTTTCACGTCACCAGTAGTCCGATGTGAAAATAAGGATAAGCTGCCCTTGTTGACCTCATCCATGATCGTCTTTCAATTCAGGTGCACCTATAGTGCTACTTACATAGGTCGAACGGCAAACACAGCTATCAAAACGCATCAAGGAGTATCACCCACGATGGCTTAGACAAGGAGGCCAGGGAGTATTATCAAGTTCAATCGTCTCGCACTTGTTAGAAACTGGGCATTCAATCAACATCCAGTCCGCCTTCAAAGTCGTCTACCGGGTCCCACAACACGTGTCAATAGCAATTATACTCTGGATACTAGCAAATGCCGAGGCAATTATCATACGCCTCTTGAAGCCTGAGCTTTGCGCGCAGAGAGAATTAGTCCGAGCACTACAACTCCAATGGCCAACGCTCAACTGTGGTACACAGCGGGACGCATCGGTGACGTAAGCTAATTAGCACCGGTAACATAATCTAGTCAATCACACGGGTTTCCACCCTTGCTCACCCTTGATTATCCACACTGACTTAGTGACAGCATTTCCAACTGTTCTTGATAATTCGTTTTCATATAAATGTGATTGTAATGGCTTGAGAATGAAATCACCGAAAACATATGTTCGCCTACAACTCGTGTTCTGAGTGATATATTGTTCGTCGAAATGACTTGTTTGTGTTTTTGGTAACGTTATATCAGGCAGGTGCAGAAATCATCAACAATACTACACACCTATGCACACATAATATGTATTTTTGCAGTGGTGTCTAACTATGATTGTTGATTTCGCTAAGACGGTCGACTGTACGTTCTGAGAATACGGTGTGTCTACTCATTAGTAGTCAGCTCTGCCGGGTAATATAAAGCAAACATGGTATTGAGACCATTTTGTTTTCACTCACGCTCCTCATATTTGAACTACCGGGCTCTAGACGTTGTTGTAGCCGTATTCAAATGAGGATCCACATAAATGTACAAGTCGAATAAATGCTCGTCCTATCAGATCAATTTTCCGTTTGACAGGCTCCGGATGGGCGCTACCCTTTATCGATATCCTTAATTGTTTATGCGTATTATTCGTACTTTCCCTTTGCATGGAAACGTCTGTCTTTCGAACAGACGCGAGAGAACACTAGGATTTCCTGCCTTCCTCTAGACAATTATGCGAAACACCTCCATGTGAACACTGATAAATAACGAACAATTGTACAGTGTGATTTGAAATCTTACGGACATCATGGTGAATTTCGTAATTCGCAAATTGCTATCTCAGTGTTAGTCAGCTAATCAAATAGTGTTAGTACCACACTTTAGCAAGTGAAGTAAGACAGAAAAAGTGCCCGTGGATATTGGACGATGGAGAAGTGAATTAGCAGATGCAACTGAGATCTAAGGCTCCTTACTCCTCCTATACGGTTACCGAAGGCTGCATAAGGACTTATTATTCAGTCATCCCGTTGATTATTTAACTGTATGATACGTTTTGTATCAGGTACGAGTCCTTTCAATCGGGACTGATCTGATACGTAACTCACAACCCTGAAAATTATACTCGACCAATATGAAAATCTCCAGGCCTTCTTCACATCCACATTTAACGAATTCATCACTTTTGAGTAGTTATTCTGAAATTTTTGTTGCAGTTTGACAAAATCATCCGGAGTCTTCGAACAAATAAACAAATTAGGAGTCAACATTTGTTTGATTGACAATGCATCAAATAAAAGAAAAACAATAACTGACGGACTAAGTTTGAAATAATTTTCATATATTTCTCTACGTTCTTCACTTAGGCAATCAGATGTTGCTGACTTCTGTGGTTTTCTTCGTAGTATTTGGTGTCGCGCAAATGAATTTGCATGAATTGGATGGGCACTTTCGAGATTTCTCCCGTTTTCACCCTCAATTGCATGTGGTTCTGTCAAACAAGGCACAGGCTTTTGGCGTGACGTGCGTTCGTCTTTTGTTTCCTATTAGTCAGCTGGAATGATCGGAGTTTTGAACAGAAAGGGAGTGAGTAGGTATTCATAGAGGTCAACGAGTGTGTGTAGGTGTCCATGGAAATCATGGGTTGCAATGAAAACGATGCCACTGTAGCACACCAACCAAGGGATATATGTTCAATGTATCTGATGTCAAGTGGAGTTCCACAAGATGATCTTGTCTTCAGTTCTTTGATTTTGCCCCAGCAGATCACTGGTTTGGAAACCGGATCACAGCCGTCCTATCCCAGCTTTATTTTCAGCGGGGATCAGAGAATATACACAGCTGTTCATTCACAACAAGCGTGAAGCAGCTACACAGGACTCCTTTTTCTTCAATGGCAAGTTCAACGGGGATGAAACAGGATGAATCATGTTGCTCAGTTAATTCCATGTAGAATGTGTAAACCATCGAACGAATGAGATCAGATTGCTAGCGGAAAACGAGTTTGTGTTTCTCGCATCCGATTATTCACCCCACGAATCACAATTGAACTGACCACTCTCCGTCTAATGGACTGTCGCACTACTAGCTGAACTTTCGACTTGCATGAATCGAATGCGAATAAAGCAAATTAATATTCACTCTCGACGGTTTCTTCATGAATGCAGTCCACAATACAACAATAGTTATAGACATTCACTGACCGATACAGATAAAATTTGGTCCTGTCAAATCACAGTGAGTTATCCCTGTTCTCAATGAAGGGTTTAAAAATAAAGCAGATTGCATCCGTTTAAATAGTTATTTCGTATTGTTAAAATACACCGGATCTTCTAGGGGGGTGTCTGCAGACGGAGTTTTCTCTAAATACAAAACCAAGGCTGGAATATCCGTCGTAAAATCGCACATGGAGATGACACGAAATTAAAGTTGTGTGGAGATTATTCTTCTCATATATTTAATTCAACCACAGAGTTATAAGTAGGTAAATGAAAATTATACTATTTTTCTTTGGTATTTTGTAAAATGTTTTTGCCCAACACACCTCGTGTCGATTTACTGACCATCAAAATAACTCCGACGCTGACTGAAACAGTTCAGTATCATCATCGTACAGCTTTAAACAGCAATCCAAGCCCCGCTGACCACTGCGTTTCTCACCATGTTGCACGTGA